ATATATTTGATGAACCCCAGGTAATAATGCAGGGCGCACTTAATAATATTTAAAAATGCAAATACAGCAACGCAGTTATTCTGAAGTAAAAAAATAACAAGACAACGTATTAAAAATATATTCTGTGTCGCGGGGGACTTACCGTACTTACCAAACATACTCGTACATGAAATGGACACAAAGAACACACAGACTCAGAACAACAATTTGTGGATCACAGTAAGTGTCGTCCCATGTGGGGATCGAACCCACAACACTCAGCGTAGTAGTAAGCGGCGTAGCAACCGCTTAAACCACTACGCCATCATTACTTACCTAACAACGTTTTTCACCAGTCAGAGAGTCATCCTTCGGCATATATGGACCCCCTCGATCGGAGTGAAACCACGGCCGCACAGAAAACCGGTGTTCAGAAATGCTTAATTTTCACCGAAATGTACCGGAGGCCCGGGCCTGTCAGAATTAACGAGCCCTAATTCTGTAGAGGTGGGGCACTCAAGAAATGGCAATTGTGTCTCTTGACCTCTAGTGCTACGTTGAAATAGGACTATCTTTTTTTAACTGAACTGAAGCTACACACATGTCACAATCCATTCTACACTACATGCACTTGTAGTTCCATCGCTAGAACTCTTGAAATCATTTGATTTCAGGAGTTCACTTAGGTACACACACAAGTACACTTACAAGGTGTCATGACTGAACCTAACTTCCAAACCCACATTAATTTCCTTACAAACAGAGTAAGAAAAACAACAAATATAATGAGAGAACTGAGAAATGCCGCTTCCCCAGAAACACTTAAAATGACTTACTATGCACTGTGTCATTCGCTGCCTATTTACTACATATCCTGTTGGGGCGGACAGCCAAATCCCCAATAATTCATTTAATTTAATAATAATGCCCAAAAAACCCAGACCATACCCAACCACTAAACTTTATGAGGAAAGTCAACTTTTAAGTGTACTATATTGCCCGCGTACAAAATAGCTATTTCGTCCCCAGGGATATCACGATGAAGTCGCCTCTTCAGAGTGACTGTACCTGCTTGTCGCATGTCCAACGCTTTTATTCATTCTTATCAGCCTACATTAGCCTGTGCCATACTTCTGGATACAGTACCAGACAAAAATAAAAACCTATGAATGGTTAAGTAAACTCACGTATGAACAGATAGAAAAGTTGTTAACTACTACAGCGTACAACATACTTACTTATAAATACAGTTATTTATAATATTTAGAAGTATATTTTATTAATAGTATTCCGTATGTGTTACTTGTACATTTACATATAATTAATGTAAGGTATAACATTTATAGTATAAAAAAAGTTATTTAACAGTGGCACAGGAGATTTATTTTTCTTTTATGTTAGAGGGTGCAGACGAGAAGATGGGTCACCTGATGGAAAGTGACCATCGCCGCCCATGAACGTTTGCAACTCGGGAGTCACAAACGCGTTGCCGGCCTCTAAGGAAGGAGTACGCTCTTTTCTTGAAAGTCGTATCTTTCCGAAAATACCGCAGACGATAACCCGTTCCACAGATTAGTTGTGCGGGGCAAAAAGTACAGTAGTGGAGCGCCAACTATCCAGGTAATCAGGATGAAAATTGTGGCGATGGCTGATACTTCGGTTGTTTTTCTCATCTTGAAAATCGACTCAGGCTGTAGCTGTCAGTAACCATATTTATAGCTCGGTTTCTTTCACCAACGGTGTACCCCAGGGTTACTTAATGGTTCAATTGCTTTTTACGATTTACGTGAATGACATCGACTGCTGCTTGCAAAGTTCTAATCTGCTTTGTTTTGCCGATGATATAAAGATCTATTCTGTTATGTGATCAGTTAAAAATGTGCACGGGCTTCATTCAGATTTATCGCGACTTGATCATTACTAATTTGATAACTGTCAAATTAGAACTAAACAACGCTAAATGCTCAGTCGTCACGTTTGGTAGGAAACATTATCGAATATTAGCACCATACGAACTTGAGGGGCAAGTATTACCAGGATGTGATGGGGTGCGAGACCTCGGCGAAGCGAAGCTATTGTTCGATGTGCATATTGAACAATTTTCTGCTAAAGCTTCTAAGGCTTTAGGGTTAGTAATGAGAATTTCCAAATACTTTGTAAAAGCTAAAACGCTTAAAATTCTCTACTGTACTTGTGTTAGAAGCCAATTATGCCAAATTTTGAACCCTTGCTATTATAAGTACATGGATCGCATCGAAAATACACACAAGCTTTTTCTGAGGTTCTTGTGTAAATGTTTGTACGGCGACCAGGACCGACAGCTTAACGTGCTCTTCGAGGCACGGGTCTCAATAAGTTAAGAATGGTCACCCATCCGTAGACTGACCTGTTTATGATTACTTAACTTTGCAATATGTTAACCTAATCAGTTACCACTTAGCCACGAGCCCCTCAACCTAACGTGCCAGTGATCATTATATTGTGGTTAAAATACTTAATCTTTTAACGGTAATTTTTATGGTATGGTATCTTCGTAAAGTTCATTTATAAGTAGTAAAACTAAAATGGCCTTTACGTATTGGTGACGCTACTGCTTCTGATTTGAACATCTTAAACTAATTTATACCCGTACTGCTGTTACATCGCAAGAAAACTGAAGTAACATGAATATCTTCAATTATTAACTTATGAAGTCCCAAGAGTAACAAAAGTCCCGGTCATGATTGGCCTAGTAACTACCAGGTATAGATATATAGATGCACGTCGAATAGTTCTGTAAAACATTTTTTTTTAGTTTTACAATATGTTTTTCAATATGTATTAAATAAACTGTTACTGTTCAAATAATAAAATATTGGTAGAGTATCTAATACGAAATCCTACCAAATGTCGAAACCAAATCAAAACAAAAGCAATATCTCTCGCCTATCTCAAAATTGTCTGCAATCCTACCTTGGAAAATAATAATGATTCAATGTTGAGTAGCGCCTGCTGCTTTATGTGTAGCAATCGGTGTACTTGTGTTCCTTGAAGTAACTTACTGTGTGCACGATATGTATTACATGAGCTATAAATATACTAAAGAATATACAACTTATTTCGTAACGTTGTAATAGCACTGTAACGCTTTGTTTTAACACATCATGACATGTATGGCTTTCTAATATACATTATCAAAATTATGTTAACAGAAAAGGTGTCATTGAGATATCTGATGAAAAATTAAACGGACACAAAGGACACCCAGACTCAGACAGACAGAACAATAATTTGTAGATCACACAAAGTGTCGTCTCATGAGGGGATCGGACACACAACTCTCAGCGTAGTAGTAAGCGGCGTGGCGAGCGCTTAATCCACTACGCCATCCGTGCAGTCAAGTCTTTGTTGTTGTTGTAACGTTTGTAACGGATAAACTCGGATATTACTTAACCGATTTATATAATTATTTTACTCATAGAAAGCCACTTACTTATTTTCAATAAAATTAGACATTTTTATGAATACTGTAATATCGTTACTGAAGGTTTAAATTTAAAACCTTTTGTAAAAGTCTTTGGAGTACGCAAAAATAACGTACATTATGTACTATAGGTTTATAGTGGCCATAATTATCGGTAGGAATATATTGTATTATGACCAACTAACCGATAACAGTCATAGTGCTAATTCTTTATTCAAATTGGTTATGATATAAATACACATCCATAAACAGTTTAATAATCAAGGATAATTGTGTACATTTAAATCTTGTTACAATTAAATAAAATCGATATTCCGTTAAGAAATTGAATGAAAATTGGCGAAGAAAGGCATTTTCTGCGGTAGGAGAGAACAGCTTATTTATCAGCACAAAAGCAATGGTTTAATCTGCATACCATATTACGTGGCGATATCGCTTTTAGATCGTGAATCTACGTGCTAAAGTATTTTTTTTCTGTTTATCAAGCGCATGTTACCACAACACACATGCGTTTCTAATTTACTAAAACTGACCCCATATTCAAATAAGTTGACACAAATGAAAAAATCATGTACAATAAAAACTACGAAATACTGTATCGTTTATGCAAAATATTGTCAGTAGATTAAAAAGTTAACTTTTTATAGCCATAGACCATTATTACACAGAAGAATACAAAATTAAAGTTGATAACCCGTACACTACTAGAAACGTGAGACAAAGAAAGCTGGTAAAACCAAAAATTAATAACTATTACGGAGAGAGAATGACTGAGAATCTAGTTCCTAAAATATTTAATGCAATAAAACTGTTAAGAACAGAATATAAAGTAACCAAAAATACGTTATAATTGAAGTTGAAGGATCTACTGCTTGGCGAAGGTGACACTACTATCAGTGAGGTCCATTAGCGCAAGGCAGTCAAATCATAAATTTAATCTTTGGGTTGGTGCTTGTACATAGAACGTATGTGCTATGTAGAATTACTAACATATACAATGTAGTTTGGAGTATTTCGCCAACAAGCTGTGTACTAACACTAATAAATGTAAACATTTTTTTTTATGAATAAAAGATTAAAAAAGAAAATAAATACATTACACATCACACAATATGTAAATTAAAATAATAAAAGATACCTGATATGAGTACTTATACCTTCAGCACTATCTCTATGAATTTATGAAGATTATTGCTTGACTGGTAGAAAATGCAAAAAGTATTAAGAGTCGCCTTATACAGTGTATTTCAAGGCAGTTTAAATGAATAAATTTAAGAAATCTGCTCACCTAACACTGAATTAGATTATTAATTAATTGATTTTAAAGCACGAGGGTGAATCAGTTGCATAATTGCAATAAATGCAACTGATTCATCCTTGAGCTAATAATGCTAACTGTAATTAGCATTATTAACTAATGTGCCCCATTTAGACCCTATTTAATAATAGAGGTTAGAATATAAGGACTATAAATATCACTGCTTCGCTCATAACTTGCACAAACGACAACAAGTAAATCCATAATATATCCGCTTTGTAATACGTGAAACACATCAACATGAAAAATGTAAGTTTTTGTAATCTTTATGTTTCAAATTATTTATATACGAGTACGTACTATGACAGGTTAATAATTGCACTGTAATAAATAATGTCGAGTGTAAATTAAATGTGATAGTGGCATTCAAATGTTTCTTAAATTTTTAATAAATACGAGTATATTTCCAACTTTACATTTTCCCATTCTTAAACTTTTCTTTTCGTGCCCCTTTTTGTCAATTAATGCTGACATTTGTTCTTTTATGTCCATTAAATATGTAATTCATCCAATCTAAGCTATTCAAATGGAAAAGTACCACCATTCTTCAGAACACTTCTCATTAGTTGTTTACGTTAATTTAGACTTAGAGTATAATAAAAACATTTTCTTAATAAAATATCTTTATTTTACAGATACTGTTGGGAATTTCATTTACTATAGTGGTAGTACTATTACTAAATACGGCGTCATCGGAAGCTGCTAATACAAAAACTCTAACTTTGGATAGAAAAACAAGCGATGATATCAACCCAGCTCTATCGTCACAAGATACGAATGAGAACGGAGACATGCTCATACGTCGCTCAAGAGAGATAGGATCTATACTACTCGCTGTTCAAAATCAAATCAAGAGTATAATCCTAGATATTATTAGAGAAGCTTATAGTTCTGCTAAAAGTTTTACATCTCGTCTTATGAACAAATTATTAAGTAAATTGCAAATGTTCACGTTGTCAGATGTGTTGCGGGCGTTAATGAACAGTTTTACAGAATCAACGTCAGATTTGGGGGGTGATTTATTCGTTGAGAGTGCATCGGAACCAGTGGAAATCGATTCTTGGGAAGCGAGAGTTTACAGAAATCCATATCACATTTCTTCTTTGCTGAATTCAGACTAATTTAACTAACTACCTAAGTTTTGTTATATGAGAAATGATATAAGTTACATAAGTTATTTATTATTAAATAGTAAGTTAAAAAATAATGACTATTACTTAACCGACTTGAAACAGATTTTAGGTACCTAGCAGGGTTCTTGCGAATATCAATACCAGCATCAGCATCTCATTAAAAGATGATCAGTATCATCTTCAAGGCTGATATTCGTTAAAGGCAGGACCTAGCGCTAGTCATGTGGAGTAATAACTAATCATTGACGGTATAACTGTCTATGATTAGTTAAGAAAACTATAAACCTTTCTTGGCAGTAGGTTAAAACGGCTATCCTCTGTTCCCTTATTTGATTGTTTTGTCAACATAAATTGATTGGACGTTAGTGATATATTGTGTGACATGCTTGCTTAATGCATGTAATAATCCATACTTTCATTCTTAAATTATAAAAGTGAGTTTATTTGTTTGTTACGTTTTTACGCCCAAACCACTAAACCAATTTTAAAAATTCTTTAAACATAGGCTACTTTTTACGGTGATAACCCACATACACGCTGGCGGAGCCGCAGGCAGAAGTTAGTAAAGAATGAAATAAGTTTTCCATAAACCACAACATAATAAAGAACAATCTGCACTCGCTCAGAGAGAGCTCTTGTCATGTCATCTCTGTTGTAAATATAACTTACTATTAATTAGATTCCAATATTAATGCAAGTCTGTTAGCAGCCCACAACGTATAATAGTTTTTTTTTGTAAATATTACATGCAAAGCGTGGGTGGCAAATTATAAATATAAAGACTTATTATAAAAAACTTATTTTTTTTTTAACTTTTTTAAATGGTTATTACAAAGAAATGTATCATATATGTGTACTTAAATAGGTTTTAAAGTATGAAAATGCTTTTGTGTAGTAATAGATACTTTGAATTGACATAAAACCTTCATGGTGTGAGATTTTCGAGTAAAATTTATACGCATGATACCTACGAGGTTCTTCTTTTAAAAATGTGTATCGATCGATTTTCAACTTTAATTTTTTTATTTACTTAGCATAGACTTGAAAGATTGATACTTCGAAAATGCGAGTCATTTTTGAATAAGAGTTCCGAACGTGACAGAAACGGTTCGCAATATCAATGAACTCACCGTGCGTTTTTGGTTATTACACACATTTTCAAAACCTTCGTACTTATGGAAACTTCGACTTGAAGAATGCAATGGCTGACCAACGTGGAAGACACAAGTAAATATTGAAGGAGATAGTGGAAGCCGATCTGAGTCAAACTACCCAGGAATTAGCGGCATGGTTTAACGTTACTCTACCTACAATATTGACTAATTTGCATCAAGTCAATAAGATTAAAAAAATATAAAAAATGGGTGCCTCATGACTGATCTGCAGAAAGAAATGCGTGTTGAAACTTGTCTTGCCTTGTTGAATCGGTACAGAAATGAAGGAATATTGGATCGAATTGTGACATGACAACATCATCTGATCAAGATATTTTAAGGCCAATGACGTAAAGTGGATTGTTTACGGTAGCCGTAAGCGAGAAATGCAATGGCTGAACCCAGGTCAAGCGCTAATAGTTACAGTTTAGCGGTCTCATGGTGTTATTCACTACAGTTTTCTCAGAGACCAGAGTCAGACAATAACAGGAGATGTTTACTGTGTAGAAATACGGACAACCATGGCGAAACTGGCAGTAAAACAGCCCTGACTCGTGCACTTCTTCACCATGATAACGTAAGACCTCACGCCGCACAAGAAACCGTTGTAACTCTACAGGAGCTGCTGCTAGAAACCATACGTCATCCTCCGTACTCGCCAGACTTTGCTCCAAGGGACTACAATTTTTTCGTGATTTGGTCAATTTTCTACGTGATAAAAAAGGAGGCAGTACAAAATGCTTTCAGACAATTTATCGAATCTAGATCCCCAGAGTTTTATTGTAAAGGCATAAATGAACTTCCGTTTAGATGGCAGCAATGTATAGATAATGAGGGTAAGTATTTTGATTAAATATGTAACATTTTAGAAAAAACGAGTTTCAATTTATCAGTACAAATCGGCAACTTCAATTTATCAGTACAACGACAAATAATAAAATCAATGGAAGTATCGATTAAGTCACATTTGCTAATGATTTTGTACTAGTTAGTTATTAATTTTAAATAATTATAAATTTTAAATATAGCTTGATTGCTAAATAATATAGTTGTAAATCTAGGTTCATTTAGAATTTAATTAAGAACAGGTAAGTTGTAGTTCTTAAGTAAAGTTTTTGAATACAATAAATATTAACTTAAAATCCAAAAAATAAATAGTTTAGTTTATTTGTCGCTTTTTAGTGTTTTTAGGTAGCGAGTTTTTGTTTGATGTCTTTTTTGAAGTCAGGTTATTTTTTTTATAAAATTGTTTATTTTTCCATTTTTAAGCGATTTTAGAAAAATGAGGTTTTATGTTTCTCTGTATATATTTTTAGTGTAAAAACTCATATATACGTAGTAAGTTGAACTATTTAATACAAGTCTCGGGAGGTAGCGACCTACGGAAAACGACCACCTTTAAATGTTATGTTATGTTGTTAGTTTTAAAAAGTTGGGTGCCTGTTGTTAATAGTAAAAAGCACCTCACGCTCTTTTTCAAATTTATTAGAATTTATTTTCTATTTTTTAGTTTGGTTTTCTATAAAAATCCTGATTTTTAGTTTTTTAATACTATTTTTTTTTAAATTAGTTTATTGTCATCGGTCCTCGATATATCTACAAAGTTTAAACGAATTCTGACCGTTTAAAGTCAGTCAACATCACACCCAAAGGAGTCGGTTACAAACAAACATGCAAGTGAAGCTAATATAAAGCGTGTAAAAAGAAGAAACTGACAGACTGCTGCAAACGCACAGCTGAAGCCGATGGGTCTAGAAGCATGAAATTTTGCAAAAATGTTCCTTGGGTAAGGAAGGATTTTTAAAAATTCCACCCCTAAGGGTGCAAAATGGGGGTTGAAAAATTATATGAAATATTTTTGGTACTAGCATTTTCAAACTCACAATAAATAATCTTTATTAAAATTAATCAAAAACGTTATTACTAATTTTTCCAAACCCTTCAAAAGGGAGCAAGTTAGTATGGGGAACTATTTTTTTTAACTTTTTGATTTGATGATGATTTGAATCTCTCAGTTTAATTATACTAGTCCCTATAAAAATTATTAGACACCTATTTTTTTAACTTTTCAAAACCTAAGCATGTTTGTTACTTAATCACGCCAGAACCTCTTTACGGATCTGAACGAGATTTTCTACATAGATCAATTATAATCTATCTAAGTATGTATAAAGTAACTTATTGAAAACTAGCTTTTGCCCGCGGCTCCGATCGCGTGTATGTTAGTAAAAAAAATAGCCTATGTCCTTCCTCAACCATGCCAAATTTCATTAAAATTGGTTAAGTGGCTTAGCGTAACTGACAGACAGCCAGAGTTACTTTCGCATTTATAATGTGAAACACAAATGTACAGATTGCTATTCGTAAATTGACAGGCACTATCCAACATAAACTCACGGTAATTATTTCATCACCGCGTGTACCTATTATTTTACGAAATATTTACTTAAAATGCTCTACCTTTTGCATCCTAGATCAACCGCTCTAGGTTATTATTTAATATTCAATAAAGTATAATTTAAATTCAATAAAGTAATGTTAATTACCGTTATAATTGATTATATCAAGCATATCAAACAAGCAATATAAGCAAGCAATCAAGCATCAAGAATTTTTTCTGTACTGTCAATAAAAGTAAAAGAAAAGCTTTCCTCGTATATACCAGTATTATATAATAGATTTTTCGAAACCAGTAAATCCTAGAAGATAAGAAGAATGGATTTAGTGGACAGAGGGTTCGAAAGGAATATCAACTGCCTACCCAAATTTCCGTTTTTTATTATCTGTCAAGAATGAACAAGTGAGTATTTTCTTAGTAAAAATACAAGTTGTCATCTTCGAGTATCGGTATCGCGTATACGAGTAACTAGTCGACTAAATGTAGTGTAAGTTAATAGCTCGGCCATTCCTTATAATGTAAATCCTCTCACTTTGCTTAGTATTTAAATGTTATTATTAATGGAGACAACAAATGTTATTATAAAATTTATAAGGTTATCAACAGTTGATATTTGCTACAAATATAATATGTAAGTTAAACTAATTACATGACATAACGCTCCCTATTCACTTTCAATTCCCTTCTTTGATTACACTTAACTATCACACTTTAGGACAATACTATGTCTGCCTGCTATGCTACTCATTTATGCGGTCATCTGTGCGATGTGAATTGCTATACAACATTCACTATCGACACTGACCGCTTATAGCCAGAATCAAGTGTACCGATTGCTTCGGGGCTATGCGTGGTACCAGTCATTTCTTTGTCACGTATGATCTTCTACAATCTGCAAACATCTATGCGATATCGGCTTCCGATACCATTCGTTTCTGCACCGATAATCATTTCGTCAAACTAATTGATCGAACTAAATCAAATATTTTTTTATTGTTATAGGTAAATTAGCCACTGAATACCACATAAATACAAGAGCACACGAGCGAGAATATATGTGTTGGTATAGCAAAGAGTCGCATCTTAGAGAACTACCATTTCACTCTGCCATTTCTGGTGTACAAATTTTTCATCAATATAATTCAAAAAGTTTACGTTTAAATATGTTACATTTGAGGCGATTCAGCAACTTATTGGAAATTCGTGTAGCCACACAAAATGAATTTTAGCTGTACATCGCAGTGCGTTGTTCAGGAATCAGTAATTTATTAGAGTATCTACTATTTCTTTTTGTGACTTTTATTTTTTTTGAAAAAGTAATGTGTTTTTATACACAAATATACAAATTTCGTAAATGTAAAGTGTAAGGAAACATGAGACCCTCTGATACCGGCTGACGCACGGATAAGGATGCTTTGAAGATCACCTATGTCTGA